TCAGTCATTTTAAGTTCAGCGCCGTTCAACTTTACTGCTGATTTTTGTCGCATTGCATTTCTTTATCGTCGATGAGAACAGACGGGATGTATTTTCTAAAAATTAATTTGATAATTGCAATACGGTATCATTCTTCTCCATAATAAACAACTTAAAATGTTCAAAATTTATCTATAAATGATAAAACTACAAATTATTTTGTAAAGTATGTGTCCATTTTGCAATTAAAGTCGGGATGAGACATATCGCGTTGAGTTTTCCATAGACTTAAGACATTGTATTGATATTAAAGTGTGATTTTTTCTATGATAAGGAATTGCCTGACACATAAAACAGAAGTAAAATGACTTCAAAGAGGATTACCCACTGCTTGCATTAAATTTTCTTTTTCTCTGCTATACACCACTGACACGTTCTATTTTAAAATGTAAATATCAAAATAAAAGTGATCTTAGAGAGTAAGGAAATATTTCATTTCAACAAGGCATTTAAATGATATTCTCTTTATAATTTATTCAAATATTTGTTATCTTAAAACTTCATAGCAGAAGTTTATTTAAGAAACTGCAGTTTTCTACAGCTGACATTAGGGACAATAGTAGACAAATTTAGTTGAAAAAAACATCGACAAAAAAACAAACAAACAATTCAGACAGGCGTGTCCGATCGAGACCAAGCTGTTAATGGTAACCGACTTACCATTACTTGCCCTGAACTACTGTGAATTCGAAAAGCACCATGGACTTTTGATTCTTCCTTTGAAAAACCGATCGAGTTAGCTTCATAATACCGATGGTTCTCTACAGGTGCAACATTACGCCTGAAATAATGCACAAAGGTGCATCTGAGGTCCTTTCATCCAGTAAAGCTAGAGTGTAGAATGCAAGTTTGAAATAAAACCCCCGAAAAAAAGTCATTACCTAGAACATGTAGAACTACAATTTACTATGAGCGTGGCTAGCCAACTTGAATTTTGTGACTGGAGTTCATAAACATCTATATTCATCCCAAAACATATAGTGATAACATTGATTCAGATATTATGATTAATTAATAAATATGTTCATGTTTATCTGAAAGGAAGCTGCCGCAATGTAAACTTTCAAATTAAATCTTATATTAGAACTGAAAAAAACTTATTCTAAATACATGTGTTTTAGAGCAACAGAACATTAATATAAGTCGTGAATTATCAGTTTTTATCAAGAGCAAGTAATTAATCGGTAAAATAGACTTATATTGACAAAATTATCCCTGTTGTAAAGACTGTCAAAAAAATACAAATGCGTCGTATCATATTTTCTTTCCAACTGCGTCGTATCATTTCGTACAAATCATTATTTCCTTTCAAAATAAACATTTCTTTTTAATGAAATTTTAGTATATGATGTCAAATTACATTTTGAAATTTATAAAATATAATTATTATTATTTTTGAAACGAGTATATAATTGATTTGAAGTTAAAAACGATGGATAATGCAATATAAACTGCGTCGTATCCATAAAACTTCATAAAAATTCTGGCCCGCTTCGAGTTGCAAGTTCGCAATAACTTTTGTTTAACAAAATAGTTGTGCTATCAACATATACCGAACGAAGCGGAAAATAGTGGAGCGTGTTAATACATACATCTGGTTTTCAGTCATTTCCAACAAAATGAGTTATAAACAAAAACATACGTTTTTCGTTCCAAGATGGCGGCGTTTGTTTACGTTTTGTAGGATACGACGCAGGTTTGATTCCCAGCCCTATAATTATATCATTTTATTACATGCTTTTCGGTGGTTTATAGAAATATATCAGTAATATAAAACTGGTAATTTCACAGTTTAAAACAGTGAAATTACCACTTTGATTATTTCACTGTTTTGAATTTAAGCCCCTTTACGTTGTTTCAGTAAAATACCAGCGTGTACAGTACTGGGTACCAACTTAATGACGTGACGTCGTAAATGACGTCACGTTGTATTATTATTTGGGGCGCTTTTCATTCAGTATTAGGTTTAATGTCTTTTTAAAACGTTTCTTTGCATATAATAAAAAGAAAATTTGTTTAGTTTAGTGTAAGATCGAAATGTATTTCACCTTGTGAACACCAAAAGTTCATATTTCACTCGTGGCTGCGCCACTCGTGAAATATACCTTTTGGTGCTCACTCGGTGAAATATATTCCGATCTTACACTGAACTATATACGTTACACCGTAATTTTAGCAATCAGTAAACGTAACCTAAGAATATAATTTACTTTCACTTAGCGACACAAGTATCAACATGTCTCGAATTATACAACTAATTACTATAATTATATTTACTTAATAAATACTTAGGGGAGATACCATCCTAACAACAAGGGTGTCAATCACAAAACAATACAAAACTAAATATATATAATAAACAGTGATACAGCGTGTAAATTCGTTATAAATATTTTTGGCAGGTTATATGGCCGTATATTAACGGTTGTTTGCAATATAACCGTTTATATCTGTAAAAAGTCTTTTTAATGAAATACATAAATAAATTTGTTACAATGATTGTACATGTAAATGTATGTGAAATTTAAAAAATAAAGTAACAAATTTAAAAAAATCATTATATATCGAAAAACATAAACGTCACGACTATCCGATGAAAAGCGACGTTACAAACATGTAGTATTATAACATTGTTTTGTATTTTCTGATCGCAGATCAGGAAATACAATGTTGACATTCAATCTCTGGCACAGTGCTTCCCGACAAACCTAACAACAAGAAGTTCTCAAACAGGTTTAATCTAGCGATGTAAAAGAAAGAAATATTTTTATTTTGTTGCAAGTATCCAACAAATTACAACGCAAAGTAACTTTGGCTTTTAGAATCGTCAATAAATGCACAATCACAAATTACGCGGATGAACATCATTTTAATCAATGAAAATTACTCGGCTATTTCCCTAAAACTTCGGAATATTGTGATCGAAATTTAGCGCCCCCTAAATGAACATTTGTTATTTAGACTTTCTGAAAAAAGAAGTAAGGAAATTTAGTCTAGGACAGGGACGAATTTCGGTCAGTCGACTATTGAAAATCAATTAACCGTCTTATATTTTAAGCAGCCACGTAAATGCTATTTTTAGCGATGTCGATTACCGAATACCTCAGCGCGTATTTCTCAAATAAATCTAGCTGTTGAGCATTGTTTACACCGATCTTACTGGCGATATTTGAGATACCGGTGTGTATACAGATCAGAAAATACCACAGAGCTTGCAGTCCTTTGATTTCACAATACTGCAAGTTTGTAATGTCACTAGCCTAGCGACTCGGGTTATATTTACAAACAACCGTTTATATAGGGCTGTATAACATGTCTAGAATCTTTATAACTAATAATATACACGACTGCTGTTTATTTATGAATAAATTATATTTATATATTATATTTCCAAACAACTTTTAATATATACGGCCAAATAATCTGTAACTAATAATAAAGCTGCGTCCTGTGCGGATGACTCTTAAATAACTGTCGTTGACTGTAATATGTTCTATAAACTGAGGCCACTCTGGTATATTATCTTTTTAGGTACTTTGGAGTATTAAAAGTCTGATGTATAATAACCTAGATTCGAAACCTTGTTACTTTGCTTATGCAATCAGTACATTGTATAAGAATTTACACCACAGACACAGATATATGCTGTATCATTGGCATTGTTGATAAATGTCTACTTTAGATTTTGATCGATGTCTTGACTCCTAGTTTCGCCGGACATTAGTTCTTTTTCGGTCTAGGCTGTTAAATGCATGACATATAAAAGAAATATAAAGATAAAGATGAAAGGGACTTTAAATGTTCTTATTTGACTGCGAATTTTTAACTCGAATGGTGTATTATTTTACAATATTTACAAAATACATCAGTAATAAAATTCTATGATAATACCTGCCAAATGCGTTTTCAATTTAGGAATAGGAAGCAGAACTCAAACATCTGTCTAATATATATATATATAGAGGATATTGAATGAGTGTAAGTTCAATACTGAATTTATTGCACTCGTTGAATAAAATTATATTATGCGAGCCTCTGGCGAGCATAATATTATTTTATTCAACGAGTGCAATAAATTCAGTAATGAACTTACACGAATTTAATATTCTATTCATCACATACCCAAAATAAAGACCGTTTAAAGTGAAATAAGAGTTATTTTCCGTTGACGCGCCTATAGTAGAACGCTAACATTTATCGCGTCTTTACACTATGTTTGCATAACGCTAATGACTTCACGTCAAAATTTATGCACGACCGTGCAATACCATATTTACGGAGTCGCAAAATCGGCACGGGTGTGTGATGAATAATTATATTGTTTAAAACACCAAATAAACACGTTTTTCTCTGGGTCAAAGTATGAAAACGGTTGTCTCGATTGAAATGCCAGTTATACGTCAAGTTGCAATCGAATCCACCGCCGTCTGCGTTGAAATCATGTTTTGTCATTTATCGTATAAAGAGGCAATATTGTTTTTTTTTTTAAAAATCCAAAATATACTTGTTTTGTGTAATGTTTTAACAAAAAATAGGCAAAAGTGGCGTTCCCTCGTCAAACTGTACAGAATTGTTTGCATAAATGGCAATGAATTACATCGAGTACGTGTAATAAGTTGGAAGAGTACATATGTGGTCTCCAGTCTCACTAGGTGTTTCCCGTAAAACATGATAACATAAAACAAAATTCAGTCATAAACTAACCGACAATAGCAAACGGCCATATTCTACCCATCGCTTCTGCGGCGAATACTCCACCGCCGCTGCGATATATCCACCGCTTCTGTGAGTTGGATAACTTTTGAATACCGATATGATAATTTTTCGTTTCATTTTCAGAACAAAGTTTTAACATTATCTTTTGAATTTGTAAAGTTTCATACTGTAACATTATATCTGAATAAAATCTTTATAACAAATTGAGTATAACGAAAATAATGTTCAATCATAAACCTTTGTAGGATAGTCTTCTCGACAGACAACCTTACCAAGCAGCAGCCACATTAGAAAGAAATGACTTAATTGAATATTTACAAGACAAAAACCTACCAACTGATGGCTCACTTGAAGATCTCCAAGAGAGATACAAAAACACTGAACTCAGTATGCTATGAAATCATGAATTATATAGATACGATGAAATTCAATACTGTGAAATAATTTTTATTCGTGGGGCACAAACTTTCGTGGTTTTCGTTGTTGATAGGTCAATCCACGAATTTAAGACCCGCAACAAATATTCTTACCATGTCTCTGTTCTATATATCACAACATGCCTCGGCGCTTTTCCTGCCGATTATTGTTGTATGAATGTATACAAATAATCAGGTTAGTAACAGATTAAAACCATAAATAGTTTAGTTTTGCAATATTTAAGAAACTTGAAAGAAAGGTCGATCGTCTTCAGTTTGCTGTCACCAATGTTCGTCGCATATAAACATCAGGGTGACCAGTTGATCGTTGTATGCTACTTGATTGTGTTAGCCAGAAAACGTGACATCATCGAGTCAATATGGCAACCCGGTGCATTAATTATCGCCGATAAAACTTCTCAATTTACACTTACTAATTGTTAATATAATTGACATTGATATTAATGTCGTAATTATAGTAAACACAACAAAAGAAAAAAATACCGATCGCTCAAATAGATGAATTGAAAATTCTTTTGTTGAATTTTAACAAAACTAGTGTTTATATGATCCATTTAAATGAATTTTAATATGAATTTGTGCGACTGCTATTCGGAAAATCGACGAATTAAGAACTCACGAAAACGTCCGTTTTGATAAAATTACGAAATTTCATTCCCACGAATATAAATTATTTCCAAGTATGTTGGACTTATAGTTTGAATAAAAAATAGAACAGTTTTCAAGAGTATATCCAAGGTCAATATTTAGTATTTTTCCTTTACTTTATCCTTTTTAAGCATGTATATGTTTTAAAAAATAAAATCTTATTACATCTATTTCATGTAAACGTTTATTTTTGAAAGAATCGACCGTTTGTATTTATCTCTTTTCCAATGTTTAGGTTGTAGTCTTAATGGAAAGCAAATTCGTCTTCCTGATCTTCCATGGGACTTTTTACACTACACAATAGCAGACGACTGCATGCGTATTGACGCATACGCAGAGATACGAATTCGCGCAATCAATTACACCCGAACTTTCTCCGCTTACGTGGAGCTAGATCCATGCCAATATGTCATCAAAGCTGCATTTGAAAGAACCACTATTACGTTGATACTGTTCGAATACAATTGGGGTAAGTGTACATGTTTGAGGGAAATTACAGTAAATAAACATATATTTAAAATATCTTTAAAATACACTTTTAAATTACATGTTCCGATTTTTCCATTTAAAATGCTTGTAAAAATATTTCTTAAGAGACGTTTTAATAAGATAAATCTCATAATTGTATCTGTTAATAAATAAATCAAAACTGAGAGTTTATTCTCAATATGGTTTAGGTAAAGAAGAGATGGTCAAGCTGGTCGATAATGTGTATGTGAAGTAAGTGATTATTTTAAGTCATTTGGAGTTGTAATCGACCGTGGAATCTTAAATATACTGTTTTAGCAGGCGCTAGGCACAAGCTCAATCCAACCGAGCTAGCTTGTATTTTATTAAAATCATTTCTGTCTTGGGCGTTTTTCAGGATTTCAGTTTGTCTCTATATCAAGGAATATCCTTAATTACTCCTTTCCACATGAAACAACAACAAGGTTATAGCTTTTACGATATGTCTTGTAAATTTTAATGTAATGTTTGTAAAATGTGATGTCATGTAAAACATGTTTGACATAATTATTACACAATACACAATAGATGAATTTAACAGTCAAAATATTCGTTTATATCACGCTAGCTTGTATTCACAAATGACGCACACTAGTATCAGTTCGTTTGTAGGTTCTTGTAGAAAATGATACTTTTCGTTTTTAACTTTTCAGATTCAGGATAGATAAAGATGATATAAAGAAAGTATTCCTTATTGATCTTGGCATTACATGCGATGCTGCAAGTATCAATCAGGATCTTTTGAAAGGATTTGAAATACCTATTCCAATCTGTAACGGCAACTTTTCATTACAAGGTATTGAATTCGTGGACATAATATCAAATATCAAGAGAGATAAACAAAGATGATCCTAATATTTTTTTGAGTGCATTCAAGTTGATTTTGTGATATCACTTAAAATTCCATCATATGTCTACACATTTCTTAATTACTGTGTTACATTTTGTTTTATACGTATATGTAATTCATAACTGTCTTTTCACAATGCAAATTTGCTTTTTATAGGAAGCTTATCGAGTATAAAAGAAACTCTTGGTGGTCAAATTAACAGAGAGGTATTTGATCTTGTTCTCAAACAACTGGGAATCGATAGAATTATACAAGAAGGTTCTTGCAAAGTACCACCACCTCCTTCTGGTTAGTTAGTATTAACAACTTTAAACAACAAATTTGGAAGCCAGTGGCATGAATACTTACTTTGAATATTCATTGTCTGTTATATGTGTATTTGATAATTTGCAATTCGGATTTTTCCACTATTTCATTAAATGTGTTATTATATAAAGTGTTATATTTAATTTCTTTCATAAATATTTGTACTTTATACTCTTAAAGTAATCTAAAGTTAACTATTTAATATGCATCTTTGTGTCTACACAATTTTCGCACATCCCTAATGAAATGAAATATAAATATTAATTGTATGTATCGTAAATTATAATAGTCCTGATAACATTAACTTTTCAATGTTTGATGCATTTTATTTCAGACTGTCCTCCCGCTATGAACATTTCAAATATGATACCTCCTTTTATGAGAAATATCTTGCAATGTGAGCTAGCTGACAATTGTTTTGGTGTTACATGTTGTGTTAACTTTGGCTTCACAATACCATTTTCTTCAATTCAAATAAGCATATCATTTCCGGTGTGGTTCAAAATGGATCCCTGCGACTTTCGAGTAGACACAGGAATAGGATCATTAAAATATGAGGAACAACTTCTGAAATACGAATGGGGTAATTTTCTTCAAAAAAGTATAAAAAAAACTGATGAATTAAGACGTTCACATTCAGCAACTCTTAAAGTGTATATTGCTGATAAATATATCATTTATTTCACATCTATTGCCAACACTAAACAAAATATGAATTACAATTAAAATGCAATATTCATCATTCGTACCATACAAGAAGCTTTAGTGTCTGTTATAAATACCAAAAAATATATGCATATATTTATTTTTTAAAGAAATACATTTTGTGAAGAAACATGTACACATAATATACAGAGTCATGCTTTTTCAAGCAGTATAATTATATTCTAATTTTACACAGATATCCTTTTTATAATTATATTACACAGTATTATATGGATATAATATCACATTCAACTTAAATAAGTATCCACTTTTGCAGTTTCATTTTTACCAGATACATAC